CAGTGGTCCTAGTTAGGCCTAAGTAATGTAGGGCAACCCACCTTTCCCCTTCTAACAGACAGATATAGGTACTTTTTCACAAGTTATTACTATGTAGGAAGGATGCACAATGGCCTTAGTGAGGCCTAAGTACTGCAGGGCAACCCCCTTCTCCTTACAGACAGATACTATGTAGGTACTTTTAAAATACTTTTGTAAAAGAAACAAGTAAGAAAACACGTTTCTAGTAGGGAAGCCCCCCTTTTAAGCCTCCCTTTCTCATTTATTTTGATTATTTGTTGTTATAGCGGCAACAGAAATTTACATTCTGTGAAAATTTCAACTCTACCTAGTACGGTTCATGAGAAACATTTCGCTGACAGACAGACGGAGAGACAGCAGAGGGAGGATGCACAATGGTCCTAGTAAGGCCTAAGTACTATAGGGCAACTAATTACACTATCTCTCCTTATATACCCATACTATGCAGGTACTTTTGTACAAATTAATTCTAATTAGGGAGGATGCACAATGGTCCTAGTAAGGCCTAAGTACTGTGGGGCAACCCCATTCCACCTTTTTATAGTCATATACTATGTAGGTACTTTTTAAATACTTTTGTAAAAGAAACAAGTAAGAAAACACGTTTCTAGTAGGGAATCCCCCCTTTTTAAGCCCCCCTTTTAAATTTATTTTAATTTTTATTATTTGTTGTTATAGCGGCAACAGAAATGCACATTCTGTCAAAATTTCAACTCTCTAACAAGTACGGTTCACGAGCTAGAGGTCGCTGACAGACGGACATCGGAGTCATATTAATAGAGTTCCTTTAGTTACCTTTCAGGTACGGAACCCTAAAAAAGGAGTTAAGGTGTCGTGACTTCTTTTTTTAATAAAGTAACGATTGCCTAATCAAACCTTCAATAGGTCCCTTCATTTGCGAGATAGAGGGCGATTATTGGAAACTGTCAAAAACCACAAGACTCTATAACTTCTTTATTAAGAAAAATATTAAAAAACTTTGTGGGAACTTTGATAGATCTATTATAAAAGAAATCAGTGGCGACAAAAATTTTTTTAGGGGATCGCACTATGGAAATATAATACAAACTTATGTTTTTTTTTAATGGGACACCCTGTATATTTTGGCATATTTCGCTTCCATTTATAATTATCTTTCACCTAATATAATATATCACATATATATTTTCAGTGGTAGGAGCTACATTATATTTCCATAGTACGACCCCCTAAAAAAAAATGTTTACGCCACTGACTGAAAATATTAAAAACCTTTATGGGAACTTTTGATAGATATATTATGAAAGAGGTCAGTGGAGTACAATTTTTTTTTAGGGGTCGCATAATGTAGCTCCTACCACTGAAAATATATATGTAATATATTTTATCAGGTGAAATATGTCAAAATATACAGGGTGTCCCATTTAAAAAAAACATAAGTTTGTATTATATTTCCATAGTGCGATCCCCTAAAAAAAAAAAAATGTTGTACGCCACTGACTCCTTTTATAATATAGGTATCTATCAAAAGTTCCCATGAAGTTTTTTAATATTTTTCTTAATAAAGAGGTTATAGAACCTTGTGGTTTTTGTCAGTTTCCAATAGTCGCCCTGTATCTCGCAAATAAAGGGACCTATTGAAAGTTTGATTGGGCAATCGTTACTTTAACAAAAAAAGAAGTCATGACATCTTAACTACTTTTTTTCTAAATCCTCTAGTTTTTGCTACACCCTGCAAAACATACCAATTTGGGACACCCTGTACGGTAGATGATAATGTAGGTATGATGACATTCTAAAAAATTGACACCCTATACAGTCCATAAATAAAACTAGTTGCTAGAAGGATCATTAAAATTTATGGGCCCAATAAATTTTGACAGCTGTTTAGACTGAGTAATTCGAAGGTCATGTCATTAAGACACATCATATTCTCAAAAGCGGTCAGTTTATCGGGTCAATAAATTTTAATGATCGTTTTTGCAACCAGCTGTAGCTCTTTAAATTATGTAGATATAAAGGGTAATTTCCAATTTTTGCTTCTATAAACTTGTCGTACTTATTTTTTTTTGTGTAGTTAGTCCTTTAGTTTATGTGCTTTGTTTCAAATAAACGTTTATTTTTTGTTGTATTTCTTAAAAAGTGTTTTTTATTTTCTAAAATATAAGGTGTACACCTATTTTTGACATTTTAACCATTCAAAATAATTAAATTGTTCTTCCCTAGTCAGACACCAAGATGGATTCAAAGTTTATTCTCTCTTTTAAGGAATTCAGTAAGTAAATATGTATAAAATGTGAGTTTATTTAAAGGGTATACTGTCATTAGTAGACACCTTATATTTTATTTATTATTTAACAAATTTATACCTGCAATGAAATAAATGGAAGAATATTTGGAAGAATGGAATTTCAGGCTGAGAGAGGGAAGGCAGCTACAGCTGTAGGAGCTCCCTTAAACAGTGTCAGCTATAGAACGCTTTGCTAATTTCAAACTAAAAACTAGAGTTTAGTATTATTGTGAGCAGGAAGCGGATTATATAAATGTGGCTAGTTTAGATGGCCTGGCCAAGGTTACCATGTAACCGGACTGTCTAAGGCAATATTGATATATAAATAGTTTCGTTTACACTAATATGCTAACTCCGTCATTTTCTCTTTGACGTTAGCAAAGCGTATTGGAAAGCGTTTACATATATATAAAATTAAATAAACATGTTTGCATCAAAACATATATTTCATTTTCATTTAACATTAAAAATATGAAATAATAAACAAAAAGTATTAGTTGTTTCTGAAATGATTGTTAATTAAATGTGTTTGTAACATTCTCCCTTGAACTAAATCATTGTTTCTATCATTTGCTTCATCAATAATCACTACATCAACATTTAAACCTTCAACCATATTTTCTTCGATTTCTGGCATGGGAATATTTTCAGTAATGCACATGTTGTGTAATACACAACAAGCATTTATGATTTGCGATGCCTTTATCGGATGGTAATGAAGTACTCGGTCTTTTAAAAGACATCTAAATCTACATTTCAAAACGCCATTCAAACGTTCAATGGCATTTCTTGCTCTCTTATGCACATTTTGAAATCTTTCTTCTGGTGTCCCTGGTTCTGGAACTACCCTTAGTGGTGTCAATAACCAAGGTCTTAAGGGATAACCTGAAAAGTAAGTACCTACAGTTTAGTTTTATAAAATAAAATTTACTAAAAACTTAGTCTACAAATAATAAACATTTTACCTGCATCACCTAACAAGAAGAAATTGTTCCCTGGATATGTTCTATATATTCTTTCCATAATTGTAGATAAATTAGAATTTCGCCATATATGGGCGTCATGTGTGCTACCAGGGAATCTTGAATTTACATGTATTATTTTCAAATTTTCATCACAAGTCTAAAAAAATGTAATATACTTCATAATGCTGAACAGACATGAAACATTAAGAAACAATGAATTTCACATTAGGTTTTATCTACTAATTGAACTAATCAGTTGAGATTGTAATTAAGGATATTTTAGTTTTTGTTATTTTACAAACTTACCAATTGTACATTTATTGAATGATACGCTTTTCTATTGACATATATGTTTTCTGGGTGATCATCATCACCTCTTGGAGGCACAATTGCAACATGGGTACAATCGATACAACCTATGGCACCTGGCATACTAAATTTTCTGTACATTCTAAAAATATCTATATTTGTATTCAAATTAAAGTTATAAAGAATTACTAATTTAATGTTCTTATATATGTATAAATATATATTTCAAAAATTTACCTAGCTCTAATTGCATGCAGCTCCTCTAAATTAGATGGGAATTTTATCCACTCATTAAATATTTCAGGCCTATTTAGTGCACTGGTCACTTCTTCAATAGCCCTACTTACACTTGATTGGCTGACCCCAGTATACATATTTGTTCCAGTGATTTCCTGGTAGCTTCCATAACCATAAAATTTTAAAGCTACTAAAACTTTTACTACTGACAAAGCAGTGGGTCTAGTTGGTGGAGTAATAAAGGGTGTCACTAATTGTATTAACGCCCTTGCCAACTCCTTACTTAACCTATAATAAAAAATATTTTATTCTCATGCTCTTATATATATATATCTCTACAAGTGAAACTAATATTTTGATGAGTGGACAGAAACTGTTTTTAAGAATAAAGAAAAAGAATAGATGCGGTAATTCATTATTCGCTGTTCAACAACTAACCACTATTAATGATTAATAAAGTTTATTTTTTTTATTTTTGTTAAGTAAATTTCTATTACCCCTTAGCTAATAGAAAAGACTACAATATTTTTGAAATTGTATTTTAAGAAAAGTATGTATGCCTATTACTTCACTCGTTTTAGGACCAAAAATTCCTAGTTTAGTTCATCAAGTTTATGTTGGAACTGAAAAGGTTCTTACCTGAAATATTTAATGAATTGCCTATTACTTAGTTCCAGAAATGGCTTACCACCTCTTAAGAACCTTCGAGGATTCTGAAGAGCGTCTTCTAACTCTTGCAAGTCATTTATTGCAAAAAGAACTGCAAGCTCATCTTCTTCCATCTCTTGAACCTACTTTAAACGTTTGTAACGATTTTTAATTAAAAATTCAACTTCCAACTATTGAAAACAAAACTTGCCGTTCAGATGACAGTCGAGTCGACATAACCTTTAAAAAAAGGTTTTCACTCAAAATATCCAACATACACATGATAAAACCCATGTGAACTTGTCACACAATATTTCATGTGAAGTGAACATTCGTCGATTTACCAAGAATATGATTTGTGCACTTTTCATGTGAATGATCAAACGAGTGAACAATTCACACAGCTCGAGAATAGGCCCCCGGGTCTCCACCCAGTTCCCCCACTCCGTTGACCTTTCTTTAGAAATTGGCAACATTTACGCAGGTTAAACACCGGTGTATGTTATATATCTGGTCTCCTTCATCTAAGGTTAATTGATATTTGTTCTTACCTTTTGATTTCGGATTTGTTCGGCTAACTCAGTGGCGGAGAGAAGGAGTAGTTCGTTTTTTACTGGGGGACATGACCTTGATTTGGTGAAAACTCTTCTGATGATAACTGGTATATACAGGACGTTGATTGATTTTATAACCATCCAAAACAATACTCTGAGGGCTATTATCCCCGGTGGCATCGTCTGCAAAAAAAAGATAGGAAATATTGAAAATTTATAAACAAAAAGACAAGAAGTTTACAATACAAACAAGAATGACAAGCTAATATGAGAAAATGTACTCTTTAACGAGTCATGTACACTATTTTTCTTGCGACCAAAAATCACGCAAATTAAATGTTATTTTAAATTAAACCAAACATGAGGTAAGTATATAAAGTACAGTAGTGTAATACTTTTATCGCCAACCGTTTATAGAGCCAGTCATTACCATACCGATTTGAGGAAGTAAACAGACACTTTATTTCACTGTAAAATTAAATATTTTATCTGCCGCTAATATTTCGTCGGCTTACTGCCAAAATTGACCAAGTCAGATAAACAAACTTTTGAGATAAATAGTTTTAAACTAGTGCAACAGTTAAACCAGTTTAAACTAGTGATCTAAAATCAAATGTTATAAATATCCAAAATTTTTTTAATTTATTTACTAGCTTGGTCAATTTTACAGATATAGAGTAAATAGTTTTAAGTGATTTGATCGATAAAAACAAAAATGAGTTTTTTTACTTTGTCACTTTTGGCAGTAAGCCGACGATTTATCAGTATAACCATGGCGGTCTGACAGAAATAGTATATAACTGATTTGTTTTGTATTCGCTGTTATTTTTCTGTTTATTTACTTTGTCATTCTAAAATGTGATGTTATAATATCTCCTTTTTTTATTAATTATAATTATTTACGGTTAGCGATAAAATTTTGTATGAACCACGTCAGCAACGTATCCTTGTCGAACACGCCTGTTACTGGCCTCGCTCACTTCTCTCGATCGGCTCATAATCTCAGACTGGTTTTATAAAGAATCACTTTGCTGACTTGGTACATAAATAACTAATATGGCAAACCGTCAATAAAGCCACACATTACCATAGCGATTTGCGGAAGCAAACAAATACTTTATCTCACTGTAAAAATAAAATATTTTATTTGTCGCTAATATTTATCAATATAGCCATGATCGTCTGACAACTGATTTGTTTTGTATTCGCTGGTATTTGTAAGTTTGTTTACTTTGTCATACTAAACTGTGATATTATAATATTTCTGTTTTTATTAATTATAATTATTTGCGGTTGACGATACAACTTTGTATGGACCATGCCATTAAAGTGTCTTTATCGAACTCGCCTGTTACTCGCCTCACTCGCTTGTCTCGCTCAGCTCATAATCTCAGTCTAGTTTGATAAAGAATCACTTTAATGACTTGGTACATAACTATTTTTACAGGCACTTTTCAAGCATAATTACTGCATGCAAACATATTACTAAATACCATTCATTTGCATAGAAATTAATTTCTTCCATATGTTTACACTATTCGTATATCTTAAACGAAATTAAATCCTAGAAAGTTAGGCAATACATTATACGCAATACTTCAAATGAAATGGCACTTGATAGTTTCAGTACTTAAAAATAATTTTGCGTAAATAATAAATATTGAATGGCTCTTTGAAATAAATACATTTCATTTTAATTTGTAGGTATTGTACCGTTTATTTATTTTAATCAGTTTATTATTGTAATTTATTTACACTAAATACATTAAATAATTTGCAATCACATACTATACTAATTTATATAGATGTTTTACTATATTGATATGCGATGTCTTAACTTGAACTGATTCAGTGCAATAGTAAAACAGCCTATTTATATAAAAACATTTCGAACCCAAATGTTCTCGCATTCACCAGAACTTTCTACGAAAACTCTGGACGTCTTTCCACCTAACATACATCGGCGGGCATACATTTTATACTGCGGTGCTTCCGGTAAATTCTAGAATATTACTCATAGACTCCGGTTTCCTCTACTAATGGGCTTTGCCACGGGCGGATCTTTAGGGGTTTCGGAGGTTGAATAATTCGATGAATATTGGTAATTAAACAAGTGGGGCCGTTAGAGGCCCAAATAAGGCAGAGAGAAATGAAAGGGCAGAGAGTATGACCGGACTGGTCTAAAATGACTCGCACGACAGTAATTATATCGAAAACTATTACCTATCACTTATGGAGAATATAATTATTATCTATGCCTACTTCTTCTTGGGTAAAGGCAATTAAAAAACTGGGCTAGTAATAATACCTAATACAATATTATTTTTGACATAAAAATATGCTTGATCTGACAGTTATGAAGTTTTGTTCACTTTTTATAAAAATCTATTCGGCAACATACAAAAAAAATTGCAGAAAAACGATGTTTTTAAGAGATACCTGTATTACTATATTAAACAATTGAAAATACAGTATTAGAAACACTGAAACGAATGAATAGGTAAACATTGCTAAATGAGTAAGTATTGGATTTCATAACAGCTTAAAAACGAGAATTACCAACAAAAACGTCTGTCGTTCTAATTATAGCAATTATCAAATTATTGGATAGTAAGCAAAGGTCTACAGAAATGGATTTTACATTATTTTTATAATCTAATAAAAATTGATACAAAGACAATGATTGCATTTAACCCAACAAAGATAATATTGGTGTAACACCAATAGACATATTTTTCTTACTATCACTATCCAAAGTATGCTTTTGCACATTCTAATGTAATTAGTAATTAGAACGTTGATGTTTTCCGCGTATTGTCATAATTTGACATTATTAGGGCACACGGGCGCCAAAGTAACTTTGGCACACGTTTGACTATTTTCATTTGAATTAAATAAAAGAAACCTAATAGTATTTTAAATGAAATCTAATCTAAAATATTTTAATTGACCTCCTAATATTTTAAATCATCCAACAATATTTTCCTCAAATAATTAAATGAATAAAACATAAATAATTACCCACAATACTAAAACATTTTTTCTTTTCGAAGAGGCTTATGTCAAATAAACTTACAACGAAAAAATATTTTGTGTAATTCGACAGATTGCCACACTCCGCTAACGCGTCGCCCGGCAACTTTCTGTCTCAACTGCCAAAGTGCTACTTTCTGCTCTTAATACACAAATAGCTATTTTTTAAGAGTAACCAGAAAGTATACACTTTCTAGACAATTTTTCGTCCAGAAAGTAACGTTTTGCCGATCAAGACAGAAAAGTAGACCGGCAAAAGTTTTACCGGTCCCTCTTTTTCATCTTGCCGATCGCTGTTTGATAATACAGTCTGCTTTGATTTTGTTACTATAATAACAACGTTCCGATTTATTGCCAAGTGACAGTTCGTTGATTTTTAATTTGTTGTTTATGTCAAACTTGTTTTCGCAAATTTAAAAATATGAATTCAGATTTTGAATTATCTGACATAGAAAATAAAATTCCAGAAGAAATTTTGGAAGCAGCAAAAATGTGACGCGACCGAAAATTAGTGTTAAGCAGGTCTCTCCAAGCTTCCAGGTTTAGCCTACGGCTCGCCCTGGAATCTGCTTGTCTCGACCTGCAAAACACTACTTTCCGGTCTTGTAACGTAAATTACTAATGTATAGAGTATGGTGGCAAATAAAAGGAATATATTCATTATTTCGTAACTCGTTGTGGAACATAATCTGAAACATAATTTGAAACCTGTCGATTTTTATTTTCTAACGCGTGTTCCATCAAATATTTATTCGTGACATTATCTTTGTGAGTTTGATAACGTCACCGATGATTTTTTAAATAGAAATGTGGTTAATGCGATATATCATTTGAAAGGTTTTTTATTTGTTTCTCCAATCTACTGATCTGTATTACTGGATAGGATATTAGCTGTATTTGACGCCGTGAAAATATGTGCCAACAAGGGGACCCATAGAAAAACTAAAGGAGAAGGTTTGAATAATAGGCGGGAATTGTTTCCTTGCTTGTAGTTTATCATATCGCTCTTCACGCGCTGCGATCACTAAATATAAAGCCGTTTTTACACCCATATAATAATTAAAAAAATCTGATGTGTCCAACACATGACTTTTCTATCTAGTTAACCTATTGCAGCATCTCTAAAAATGTTTAGAGGATAAACTAAATATATACATTTTCCACATACATCTACCTCGAAACATTTTTCTATAGATATTCATTGAAAACGAAAATATTGAAAAATTTAAATTTAGCACTTTTCCTCCAATTTTTCCATTACGGTCCATTTTAGAAAAGTCATTTAAAAACAAAAATTATAGAGATCGATATCGCAAACAACTTTTAGTTAACAATTTTCTTAAAAATCAGAATTTTGCACATTTTGTCAAATTTCTCGAATACGGACCATTTCAGGAAAATTTGACATAGAACAAAAATTATAGATAATAATATTGTAAGTAACTTTTATTTGAAGAATTTTCTTCTCCAAACGTAAATAACGAATATATTCCATAAAATATAAAAATTACCACCAATAAAGTACCCCCCCCAAATGTTCCGACTCTGTCCAAAATCTAATCAGTTCACCTCAGGTCGAAATAAAACTTAAGTTTAAAATATAATGTTTTTTCCTTTATCAGTTTTTGAGTTTTCTTCAAAATTCGAAATTTACACATTTTCTCAAATATCTCAAATACGGTCCATTTTAGAGAAATTATGTATAGGATAAAAATTATAGAGAATTCTGTTACAAACAACTTTTATTTGAACAATTTTTATAAAAAATTATTTTTTTTTACATTTTGTCAAATTTCTCGAATACGGACCATTTTAGGAAAATTTTGCATATAACAAAAATTATAGATAACGTAAATAACAGATATATTCCATAAAATATAAAAATGACCACCTATAAAGTACCCCCCCAGATGTTCCGACTCTGCCAAAAATCTAATCAGCTCATTGGACGCTGAAACAAAGCTTAAGTTTAAAATTTGGTGTTTTTCTGTGTATCGGTTCATGAGTTATGCGTTATACAGACACACACACACACACACACACACACACACACACACACACACACACACACACACACACACACACACACACACACACACACACACACACACACACACACACACACACACACACACACACACACACACACA